AAAAACAAAAAAAAATGACCCCCCATTTGTAGCGATTGTTCCCCTTGTAGGGATTTTTCCCCCCCCCCCCTGCAACAGCTTTGTTTGAAATTATGCTTGTATAGCGCGAATAATTTATTTTAAAAAAACGAATTTAGAACCACGGCCCAAAATGGAATATTTGAAAAAGGTTGTACTAAATTCAGAAAGATACTAAATATGTCACACAAAAACTGAAATGTCGCTGTTAATGTTTGATTAAAATATAATCCACCAATGCATAAGCTCTTTTTGAAACTATACTTATATAGGTCATATAAAAAAAAATACGAATTTAGGGGCCCCGGCCCAGAATTAAAAATATTAAAATTGTTGTACTAAATCAGAAACCTTTGCGGGCGAGCGCACAAAACTCACCAAAGTTTTATCGCAATGGGATGAATGCTTCAGGGACGAATACGGAAATTCAATTTGTATCATAGGTTGTAGTAACTTATGAATATGTTTGAGAGTATGCGGATAAAACTCAGAAAAGTTTTATAGAAATCGGATAAATGGTATAGGAGCACATACGGGACATAAATATCTATAATTTTTAATATGCATGGATACATTTACCGAAAAAAGATGCATTTTGCGCAACGATACAAAGAAGGGTTCAATCAATCTATCTATCTATCTATCTATCTATCTATCTATCTATCTATCTATCTATCTATCTATCTATCTATCTATCTATCTATCTATCTATCTATCTATCTATCTATCTATCTATCTATCTATCTATCTATCTATCTATCTATCTATCTATCTACCTATCTACCTATCTATCTATCTATCTATCTATCTATCTATCTATCTATCTATCTATCTATCTATCTATCTATCTATCTATCTATCTATCTATCTATCTATCTATCTATCTATCTATATATCTATCTATTTATTTGTCTGTCTGTCTGTCTGTCTGTCTATCTGTGTGTCGGTCTATATGTCTGTCTATCTGTCTGTCTATTGGTATGTCTATCGGTCTGTCTATCTGTCTGTCTGTCTGTCTGTCTGCCTATCTATCTGTCTATCTGTATATATGTCTATCTGTCTGTCTGTCTATCTGTCTGTCTGTCTATCTTTCTGTCTATCTGTCTATCTATCGGTCTGTCTATCTATCTGTGTGTCTATCTGTATGTATACTGATTTAGAGGCAGAACAAGTGTATACCGAATGAGAGACAGAACAAATGTATACCACACTGAGAGGCAGAATAAATGTATACTGATGAGAGGCAGAACAAGTGTATACCACACTGAGAGGCAGAACAAATGTATATCA